TCCAGGTAGGGTTTAGAGTTTAGGGTTTAGGGGCCTTCCTGGATTGGGGTGGTTTTACTCGTTTGCTATGCGTGGTTACAGTTCGGGTTCTACATTAAGTTTTACTTCAACCTACCAAAACCTACTTTTTTTGTAGGGTCCCTATAAACTCCATATTAATTAGGGTTTATCATAAGAACCGACAAAAAAGCAGCGTTTGGTAGTTTAAGAGGAAGTCTAGGGCTTAGGATGCTTTGCAAGACGCAGACGGGCTGTGTTGAATGTGTTTTAACATTCACATGGTTTGGCACGGGCTCGAAGTGGTTTGAATCTACACCCTTGGTGAGCACGCATAGTCGTGCATGCGGGCTGCTTATAGATTTTGGTTAGTGTGTCTTGTCACTCTTGTCGTCCGTGTGAACGTTGTAGTAGTTAGAAATGATCACCTTATTCCATACGGACTAAAGGGATTTAGGCTTCAGTGCGGTCTGGAGGCGCGGTTCGGAAATTTGAAAGGCTTTAGAAGTCAGGGTTTAAACACGGAGTGGGTGCCAGCTTTTGAGTGTTACTAACCAAGACTTTGAAGATTTTAGCCCATGGTCTTAGGGGTTCCTACCATTCCCAGGGTCCGTTGCCAGCTGTTCCCAGGGTTTCGTCTCGCGATACTGGCCTCGGGAGGTTGGGATGCCTAAAGCGTCTACCAGCAGACTGGGACCTGAAATTTCTGTGTTGTGACAGGTTGTTTCAAGGCCCCCATGGGCCCATTAATTCACAGAAGGCTCCCAAGTAGTAGTGGGACCCTCATTCAAAGCCGTCCGCCACTCTTTCTCGCGGGTGACACAGTACTCAAAGATTTGAACGAGTACGAGTGCCCAGGGTGTTCATGGGATACCGGCGAACCCTAAATCCCAAAGCATAATGCATCACAGAACCCAACTATCTTCCACGAATCGGTAGAGGGAAGCTTGGACAAGGAGCTAGGCCAGCTAGGCCCATAAACTCGAAGCCTAAAAGCAAAACAGCCTATGTTCAAGCTCTTAAAGTGCTCAGTCTTTTTTTGGCGCCCCAGCCCACTTCGACAAAAGCGTAAGCCAGAGATCCCTCATATAGGGGCCTTCATCATTACTACTATACTATTTTTGGGGGGTCATTTTTATAATTATATAGTATAACATACCCCCCCAAAACCCGATTAAAATCATTAAGAACCCTATCAAAATCATGAAGGCCCCTACATTACCTTGAGCTTTAAACCCTCGGAGATCCTTTTTTGCGACGTGAACTGGGAGTTTCCGCAAGCCGTGGTGAACATGGGCAGTTCGCTAAGTTCGGATCCCTTTAAGGGTCTTCAAAATAGTACGGCACCCTTATAAGCAGGATTTCAAAGGGACACTCTTTCAGAGAACTATGCAGATGGAGGCATGAATCACTGTTTATGATTCTTTGCGGAAGTGTGCCCGAAGACCCTTTTCTTACTCGTCAGGCCCCCGAAACGAAGTCCCTTGTTGCAAGAATCCACATAAGGAAGCCTCAGAAACCTTTAATCCCCGGAGTCCTCCCCATCCAGCCACCCCGACACCCAACGCCCAACACCACAGATATCGAAAAAGGTCAAGGGACCCGTGGGTCGTGGGCGAGCGCCCGGAAACCCAGCGCTACTCCACAGCTGGAGTCATATATATATATATATATATGTATATTAGTTAGTATTCGGGTGTTGCGCAAGTGTCGGTAGGCCACTTGCGTGAGTCGTGTATGTAGTTCTGCACCTCTCCCCCAAACAACCCTGAACACCCCTCGGCCCCAACCCCTATCCTATCAGCGTCCGTATATTTGGGTCCGAGTCTAAAGTAGAAGCCAGAGAGTTGGAACATCATCGTCCTGGTGCCCTGACGGTAAATTAAAGTTTAAGGGATCCTAGCACTATTCATCCTGACTTCATGTTCCAGCTCTCTGGCTTCCCTGTACGGGTTCGAGGCTATGTCGGGAATATACTTCGGCTTGGTTGGCACGAGCCTGCCAGCAGTACCAGATCCTCATGCACGGCAAACGAAAGATGGCCGTTGGTGCCACTGCTGATGCCATGATTTTCAATACATCTTACCCAACACCCCTGTTCAATACATCTTATCATAAACCCTAAACCCGAAACCTCTGTACATTTATCTAAGTGATGTTTGTTTTCGCTGCTCTTACAAGCTGGCATACATAGGGTGGCGCACGAAAGCCTAAATCTGAAGCAGCCAGGAGATTCTGAAGACATGAGTTCCTATAACCAACCTCAGGGCCTTAACCCCTAATATATTGGCCGTAATAGTTACCTATACTGTACTAGTTTGGGGTTCCTTATTATGCCCCAAAAGCCTAGTAAAATTATTAAGGCCCCTACATTACATCTTACTCCAATCCCAAGTGCCGCCGAAGGGCTTCTGAGGACTCCCCGTGTCGCAGATCCCAGAATCCAGAGCATACCTTCTCAAAACTATTCGTTGTGCACGCGGTACTCTCCCTCAAGCCTGTCCGACGGAAAAGAGATTCAGATATCCCTAAACCTTAAACCCCTAAACCCTAAACCCCTAAACCTGGAACCCCTCTAAACCCTAAACCCCTCTCAACCCTAAACCCCTAAACCTTAAACCCCTATGGACCCTTAAACCCCCTAAACCCCTAAACCCTAAACCCTAAACCCTAAACCCTAAACAAACCCCTAAACCCAAGGACCACGCAACCTGCCTGGATGACCCGGGGACCGGCCTCTTCGGATCCGCCCCCACCGAGCATCCCAGAGCAGAGCGATAGTGGCCAGCGAGGCCAAGGGTTTAGGGTTTTAGGGTTTAGGGTTTAGGGTTCTCTGGTTAAAAGTCGTAGGGTTTTAGGGTTTAGGGCTCTAAAGTTAAAAGTAGGGTTTTAGGGTTTAGGGTTCTGAGGTTAAAAGTAGGGGTTTAGGGTTTAGGGTTTAAGATTCTTAGTTCTAAGGTTAGGTTAAAAGTAGGGGTTGAGGGTTTAGGGTTTAAGATTCCTAGCTTGAAGGTTAGTTTCTAGATATCCGGATCCTACCCTTTCGGGCCCATACTAGGGGCCCATGGGTTTAACCTAAGAGTGGTGTTTTGCGAGCTTATTGGGTTTAGGGCCAGTTTAGGGCTTCTTGGGGGTTTGGGGCTTTAGGGGTTTAGGTGTAAGGGGCTTAGGGGGTTTAGTCGTGATGCAAAAGGGTTTAAGGTTTATTTTGGTTTAGGGTTTATTGGGGTTTAGTGCTTAGTGTTGCTTGCCTCCCAACTAGCTAGGACGAGCCCGCATTGCAGGGTTTAGGGGTTCAGGGATTTCTGGAGCTTGGCTGAAGGGATTCAGGGCTTAGTGCATTGCAGTCCCACTGCTCAAAAAAAGGGATTTACCCATAGGCCCATGGTAGTTACTTTTGGGGATTCCCGAATAGGATCCTAAATATAAGCCACAAAAAGGAACTACTGTGGGGCCTATGGGTAATTAGGGTTTATGGGGTTCCGTCCAGGGATGTTCAGGGGTCCAGAAGGGCTTCCAAAAGGGATGATCCGGCTATAAAGTTACTAGTGCTGTGGTTGCTATGGGGTTCCTATAGGGCCACCATCAAAGCTCTATAAGGGGTTTGGTGGTTATGGTTTAGGGTTCAGGGTTTGATACAGGACTTAAAGAATAATGTTCCTACTACAGAAAGGGTCAAAAATCAAGGGGCCACGCACGGGATTTTGGCATTCAAGATTGGTTTCCCTAACCCCCCTAAACCCTAAGCAGTACCCCACGGCCTTCAACCGAAGTCTCCATGAGACCTGAAGGCTAACTTCGTCACGGTATCACCAACCCACTGAGCTTGGTTGAGGGCTTATGGTTCAGGGTTACTGTCCCTAGTGTAGGGGCTACTGGCTAATTGCGACTGTTAGGATGGCCCCCGTTTGCTTTATCAGCCGTTTTCGTTTCTCACCTGAGCTGCACCCCTTTCGGCACTGCGGTGCTAGCAATATGTTACTGCATTGGCCTACACAATTACCAATACTATTTTGAATGGTTCCTTATACTAGTTATAGTCCTTAACCCTGAACCCTAAACCCTAAACCCTTAACGGGCCCCAAAACGTCCCAGATATTATGGCATTTTGGAGGTTTCTGTGATCTCGGGTGGGAGCCCGCTTTGAAGACTTAAGGCTTATGCTCTCTGGTCCTGGGTTTAGGGTTTAGGGTTTAGGGGTTTGGGTCTAGACTTCGTAGCTCTGATACGGCTTACACGTAGCCTGGCCTGCAAGGGTCAAGGTTTGTTCTTGAAAGTGTGGCCCTCCACTCGTCCCTGGATTTGTTGCTTCTTGCAGAGCTTTTGGCTCCTGTTTGGTCATTGGTGTTCCTTTCTTGCGATGCCGCCGCTACGGGGGAACTATTGGAGTGTTCTGCTCGACTTTTGAAGCACGTTTTGTGGCAAGCTACTAGGAGATGGTAGGAGTTGGCAACTTGGAGTATAGGGTTTAGTGTGATCTTTATTTTGCAGCAAGCATGAACCCCCGACAAGGTCCTGTTTCAAAAAAACAAACGAAGCCGAAACCCAACTTCCAGGGAGTACTAAGGCCTATAACGCGGCTTAGGGATCTGTAGACGTAATACAGGCCCTAAGATGCCCCAAGCCGCACATAATCTACTGTACCTTTCTTTAAGGACTTCCATAATCAGGACATATTGTATATATGAAGGAGGCCAGGCAATGTAGGCCTTCCAGGGTCCTAAACCACGAGACGCTTTGGGATGCTGCTAGAAGGCGCTGGTACAGAGCAGGTTGAGGGTTCTTCGGTTCCTTTCGCATATTTGAAAAGACTCCCCGGATGAGGCGCAACGGCCAAAGCCGCACCGGCAGCACCACCCGCCTTGCCGCCAAAGCAGCGGTCGCCGTCACCACTTGGCTCCCGACTTAAGCTTCCTACAAGAATTTAGGGTGACGAAGAGCTTCGGCACGAGCACTGAGATGTCCCGCAGTTTGTGGTAAGTTAAAATCCATCAAAGAGGGGGGGACTTCCGCTGCGATTCAGCTTCAAGCAGGGCCTTCAGCTTGGTCTTTTGCAGAGTTCTTGTCGCGTTTTCCGCGTGATGGGCTGCAGTGAGAGCAGCACGCGGACGGCAGTGGAGCCCTGCAGCAGTGGCTCCGTAATGCGCTACGCCAAGACCCTGGAGATGCCCCCAAAGGATGCGTTGGCCCCGGATGCCTCCACGCACCGCCACTACATTCTTGGGCTCAACACCTACCTCATCAGTGTGGCCGAGAATCCGCATGCTTTCCAGGTAGAGGTGGAGCAGCGTCGCCAGGTAACCTTCGGGGAACTAGTGCGGACCTAATGCACCTTCCGAGAGTTGCAGATGTCCCGCGCGGCGTTGTGTTGCCAGACTCGCTCTACGTTGGGTAGTTAATTAAAGAATATTTGCATCGTGAGCCAGGTCCGTATTTTGTCGCCCAGCGACTGGACCAGACCTTTGTTCAGTGGTCTTGCTTGGCATGGCATGGGCTCGCCGTATACTTCTGTACCTTTGTAATAATTCGAACCCATGGACTCGTTGGTCGTACCGGAAGGCCATCATGCCAAGCTAAGACCGCCAGTGGTTGTTCACTGGCAATACATGAGTCCAGACTTGGTTGCTCTTCCAGATGCTGGGGGCGGTGCACAATCCATGATGTACCGTGTGCGCCAGCTGTTTTAGTCCGCCCACAAGGACTGACACTGTCCGACCCGTTGCAGCAGACGTCTTGAACTCATATCAGGTAGCATACTGGCATTCGCAGCCACCCCCCCCCCCCCCCCCGCCAAATCTCGCCATATGGAAGCTGAGACAAGAGAAACGCCCGAAGTCCTCTAGCTGCAACTGGTACGGCTCCCAATGCATATCTCGACTCCAGATGCTCCATAGATCCGTCAGGATCCGTCAACTGTCCGTAGGAATGAGATGCAAGAATCTCTCATGTCTTGCACTCCTTGTAAAGACTTGCCCATGAGAGGCCGCAACTTTCGGACCCTTTGTGCCTAAGTACTTGCAAACCGCAGATCATCCAGCTGCTGGCGCCGTGTTTGCTTCTTTGCACCACGGATCTTCCAGCTGCAGGGGGAGGTGTTTGCTCTTGCGCACCTCAACTGTTCTAGCTGCCGGGCAGGGGTGGTGAGCACTCCAGAATGGACTGTTTGTCCCGGCGTTTTTCGGGTTCTAGCCGGACCTGTTGCAGCAGACGTCTTGAACTCATTTCAGCTAGCAGACTGGCATTCGCAGCCACCCCCCAAATCTCATTATGTGGAAGCTGAGAAGAGAAACGCTCGAAGTCCTATGGCTGCAACTGTTACGGCGTGCAATATATATCTCGACTCCAGATTCTCCAGACATCCGTCACTTGGCAGTACAGCAGGTGCGGGAAAGGCGGGACATGCACGAAAGTGCAGAGGAGCTTGCAATGTCTCTGACTCCTTGGAAAGACCTGCCTAATGTAGGAGCCTAAAATTGCCTATGCTATTTTGGGGGTTCCGAACCCCCAAGCCCTATTCTAATTATTAAGGCCCCTATTATGATAGGCCCCAGCTTTCGAGCCCTAAGTGCCCGAAGCATACCTTCGCTCCTACGCACTTGCAACTGATAAACTTCAGATCTTCCAGCTGCTGGGGCTGTGTTTGCTTACTTGTACCACGGATCTCCCAGCTGCCGGGGGAGGTGTCTGCTCTCCGGCACCACAGATCATCTTAGCCGGGCAGGGGTGGTGCACTCCGGCCCCGGCATTTCAACGAAAGTCAGCCCGCAAGGACTGACTCTTGCACGGTTCTAGCCCGACCCATTGCAGCAGATGTCTTAGACCCACTTGGTCCTGGAAACTTCCGGTAGCAGACTGGCATTCGCAGCCTGTAGAAGCAGAGAACAGAAACACCCGAAGTCCTAAAGCTGCAAGTGTTACGGCGTGCAATGTAGATCTCGACTCCAGATTCTCCAGAGATCCGTCACCTGGCAGTACATGGCTGCACAGCAGGTGCGTGAAGGGAGGGAGATGCAAGAATGAACACAAGGGGCTGGGATGCCGTCAGGTGGCCGTCGCTACTGGTGCTGAGGATGCGGCAGTCGATTTCGACTTTCTACTGCACAAAAAATGCGTACCGACGTACTTGCAATTGATGAACTTGTCTTGCTGCATCCGAGGGCCCACACTTTCAGTCCAATCGGCTAGTGATTTAACGTTGTCGATACATTGACATCATTTCAGGTTGTGTCGCGTGTCTGCACCACCGATCTTCCCGCGACGGGGGGGGGGGTGGTGCGCAATCCAGAATCCATGGTCTGTCCTGCTTTGCTCTTTGTCGGCCTACAAGGACCGACGGACACATGCACTGTGCAGGGTATTGGTTGCAGCAGACGTCGTGAAATCGCATGGTCCCTACCCATAGGCCCCATAGTAGTTCCTTTTCGGGTTNNTTCATATTTAGATTCCTATAAGGTAACCCCCCAAAATGAACTACGTACTGTGGGGTCTAGCTGCAACTGCTATAGATATGCACGCACATCATCAGAGACTGTCGTCAGAGAGATGCAAAATCGGAAAAATTGGGGGGGGGGGGGGGGG